GTAGATAATTATTCAAGGTCGTGTAATTTTGGTGGAAATGCACGAAGCATCATATGCTTTGACATAAAGTCATGCAGAATGGGGTTACATTTTTGCATGGTTGAGTATATTAACATACTACACCTAGACAAACATCTATATACATATATATGGTGAATATTATCAATGTGATATCTTTGAAATAATTAATAGGACATGATAGATCTCTTTTTGTTTTTCTCTCTCTCTCTCTCTCTCTCTCATTATTAACGCTTTGAATTTACTAAAATTGGATCCCAAAATGGAACTAAAAAGTAAACTGTTCTATTTTATTAGAAATTAGTCCGTGTACTGAAAAAAACTTTCGTAATATTTGTTCATATAAATATACCCCCCCCCCTCCCCCATTAAGGGAAAATGAAGAAGAAAAGGAAGAGGGTAAGAGGTAAAGAATTCTTACAATTAAATCCTCATTTAAAGCTTTTATTTCGTAGCTTTTGCTATAGTTAAGAAAAATACAGGATGATAGTAATTGTTCTTGCCGGTTTTTAAAAAATCACCCGGTGGTGACGGATTTTAACGAGACCAAAATAAAACAGGATTTCCGATGGGAAAGAGAAAGGTTAAAAAAAAAAAAAAAAGAAAAAGGACTTTTTTCTCATTCGTTAGAAAATGAGTTTGCTTTTGCGCGATACCACTGAAGAAGATAAGGGAAGGGGGAGTGGGGGAGGGAGAGTGGGGGGGCGGTATAGAAACGTAAGAAAAATGAGATAAAGGGATGAAAAAAAAAAAGTCAGAAGAAAATGAGGATGGGCTCGAGGGAGGGTGAGGATAAGGAAAGCTGACCCATAGAAAAAGTAAATTTTCTTTTCTCCACGACTCTCTTACTTACATCTTCCCATGGGATAATGAAGTTGGTGACAATACTTTATAAGGTCATCAAAAAGGTAGAAGAAAGATAGAAAATGTCTTTGAATGATTCGTTCGTAATTAACGTCGAGTTGGTAGGAACCAAAGCTTACGATGGTTTCGCGTAATTAGTTGCTTAATATTTTCTTCTTTTTTTCCCCCCCCCCTTCCTTATTTTCCTCCTCTTCATCTTCTTGTCCTTAATTTTCTTATTTTTTCGATTTTCTAGACCCTTTAGACTACGTCAAAAATAATTCTCTCGTAATTAGGACCTGTGCTATATATTTAATGGAACAATTTTTTCTTACTTTTTTTTTTCCCTATTTCTTTTCGTTTTACTCGACTGTAATTATCAACGGTTGCAATCTTTTCTATTTTATTTAACATTAATTTTCGTTTTACTCTTTTCGTTTTATTTCTCTTTTATAAAAGAAAATTTGTCATTGATGTTTATCGATATTCTGAGTGTTTGAAAATTATGAATAATTTTGACAAGATGTGTGAAAAATATTGACAAAAATATATTAATTCTTACAAGTGAGATTCTCCATCTTCGATTATTTTATTTGGATTTTTCCATGATTTTTAATGGTTTTCTATCAATCTATCTTTCATATAACATAGAACGATGATACACGATTCTAATAAAAATACTGTTGTAATCTATCGGTTCTTTCGTACTACTATCATATCGAATAAATACGACAATGAAATCCCATAAGAAAAGTAAATTTACAAGATGAACCGATGCATTACTACTGATCACATTTTTATTTGATTTCAACTTCAATATTGAGATTTTTCTTATGAGAAAAAAATGTTCGTTTACTCTCTCGGATTTTTTCCTTTTAGTCATCCTCTTACGACAAACATGGATTTTTAAACGAGGATTATTATTATTACTATTACTATTATTATTATTATTATTATTATTATTATTATTATTTTTATTTTTAACGTTGCATGCATTCAAAGCCAAATCGCGAGATCGAGAAAAAAAAAAAAAGAGGAAAATATCGAATTCGATTGAAATTTAAGCTACTCCGAGAAACGTTCTCTCTCATGACTTTTCCCATTCACTCTTCTTTATCGAAAAACTTTTCAATTTCTTTGATCACGCGATAAGTACGTATACTGTACAGGATTTTTCAAAATATGTTGGTCTAATTTTTAAGGATTGATATCAATTATCGACAAGTTCAAATTGTGTCAGGGTTTTGTCAAGATTTCGTCAAGGGTTAGGGTAGTAAATTCTTCCAATGACTTTATTGGAAATTGTTGATTATTATTTTCAGTATAGGTTTGCTGATAGTGTAAATTCGTCTATCTATGTGTGAATGATACCATTCACCATTCGTTCAGAAATACAAACGAACATTTGATAATTGATTTCGTATTGGAGAACTATTAGGCTCGTTGTAGCGCTAAATTAATGATTAGAATTATCTACCTCATACTAATTTATCTCCCCCTTTTCCCGTTTGTTTACCCGAATCGAAGTCAATTTTATACTAATAGTTAAACACTCGTTTTATCGATTATTAATTAGTTTTAACAATATGCACGGATTATCATCACGTCACATGGAATGTTCATTTGCGAAGAAAATTATTGTATTAGATGTTATCTAAATGATATGGGGGTTTTATATTAAAACGTATAGAAGTGTTATGAATGATTTATACAATTTTCTAGTATTTTTCTAATGAAATTAATTTATATTAATTAAATTATGAAATAATTGGTTTGTAATTTACCACTGAAAAAAAAAAAAAACATTTTGCGGTATCAGAAAAGTATTTTGAATCAAAGAAAAGGAAATTTGGTTATGTATATATAACAATTCTTGTAAAGAAAGTTTAGAAGAGGACGAAGATAAGATGAAGGAAGAAACAAGATAAGAAATAAGAGAACAATAAGAAAAGTATTTGGATTTCGAAAAGAGAAAGATATAAAAAGATAGAATACGCTATGTACGCTCGATTTTCTCAAGCTAATTTATCGCGCACGAAAGTTAGCTTCCCTTTTACAAAACTACTTCTAACCCAACCTAGTCAGCTTTTTAATAAATAAAACCCTTCTCTTACTTTTCCAAACTTCCACCTTCTTCTTCTTCTTCTTCTTTTTCTTTTTTCTCTGTCTCTCACTCTCACTCTTTCGCACACTTTCTTTCCCATTTCTTTCTCACTTTCTCTTAGTTTCTTTCTATTGCCACAGGCATTAGTTTATGGGATTTATTTTTATCCTCGTTTATACAACATTTTCTAGTTGAATTATTCAATTATTTTTCTAAATACATTTACAATGATTGATCATTTGACTTTGTAATTTAAGCTTTCATGCAATTATGGTGGTGTTTTTTTTTATTTCTATGTTTATGTTGAATATTATATTTGTCGATGCTTTTATCTAAGAATAAGTCTATTTTTCTATCACTATTTACAACTATTTTTCTGGTCTTTTGTTAAAATACTCTTCAGACCTTTTCTATTGTTATATCAGTTCTCTCATTTTCCTTCTTCCTTCGTATCCCTTTCTCTATCTATCTCTCCCTTTTCTCACGGTTACTCTATTCCGGAAGCCGAGGTCAAAACAGGGCAACCCAGAAAATTTCAATTTGTCACGCCGTCAACCGTTGAAATCGAATTTTACGTGTTGTAGGGAGAAAAAGAAGGGAAAAAGAAGAAAGAAAGAAGGAAAGAAAGAAAATGAGAGAAAGAGAGAGAGAGAGAGAGAGAGAGAGAGAGGTAAACTGAATTAAGCTCGCTCGCATCTTCGATCATTCGAAAATTGAGATCGCATGCGGAACATGATAGATAAGATAAAAAGAGAGAAAAGGAAGAAAATAATATGACAAAGAGAGAGAGAGAGAGAGAGAGAGAGCCCTTTTCGTTGAGCCATCTTTTCGAACTCGTCAAAGTCAATCAAACCTTGGAGAACCTTTGCTACGAAAGGATTAAACCCCTTCTCTGGATATCCAGCAGCATTCATCTTTTCTTCTCCTTCAGCCCTTCCTTCACCTTCTCTACCTTTAGCTTTTTCCTTTTCCCATCATTTACACTCCTTCTCTCATTCCAGAAAAGCGATTATCGATGTGGAACCTCCTCTCGTCTTCGAGCAACTTACACGAAAGGAAATGGAAATAGGAAATCGACTTATCGCGCGTGCACCCTCGATATTTCGACTTTTCTTCATCCTCTCCCTCTCTCCTTCTTTCTTTCTTTCTCGGTTTTTCTTTTTATTTTTATTTCGTGCTTCCCTTATTTATTCTCTCTCTCTCTCTCTCTCTCTCTCCCTCTCTCTCTCTCTCTCTCTAATATTTCGGGCATCGAATTTCTTCGAGCTGAAATTTTTACGACAGAAATACGAACTCCAAGAAAATTGATGATAACTCGCATTTAATAGGAGCAACCCTTCTTACCTACTCTTGCAATCGGTTAGAAACTTTCTTCAAGGTATTACGAACGTAGAAACTATTTTTTTCAAATCATAAAATCAATGGAAATAATTACACACACAGTAGGTTTTACATTCTCATGTAAGCGTGTGCGTTCATTTTTCCAAATCATTTCCAATGATTCCATTCATTTAACGAGACTTGTGCTAAATATCATTTGGATATTTAAAATATTACTCGATAAGGAGATATTACTCGCGTAACTTTGTAAAGTAAAAACGAAGTCATGAAAAAAAATCACCGTAGACAATATGGTAGCAACACGAGGAAAGTCCCACTTTAAACGCTCGAGGCCATTTAAATCATACATTTTTCCACGCGAATTCACTTTCATACGTACGTTGACACACGCACATACACAAAGAGACACAATTGCACACACGAACAATCTTTGAAGTTGATACAAACGATGAAACGATGCGTATGTTGGATAGCGAAATAGTTTGCAACAATGTAAAACATTCAAAACGTTAGTGTAATGTTTGAACTTGTTTAAATGATCGTTGATATTTGAAAAACGAAAGAATTGCAAAAAAAAAAAAAAAAAATAAAGAGAAAATTTGAAAGAACGTGAAACAAATGGAGAATGTGGAAAATGGGTTAATCTTAGGGTCAAACAAAAATGTGGTTGGTACAAATGTTTGTTTGTTCTTACCGCACTTTAAGCTGTGGATAACAAGAAACGTGAACAGGCAAAGCTTGAAAATCCCTTTGCTAGTTGGAAATCCTTTCGAAGGGGTTGTATTCTTCAGGATTCAATGCATTCTCCCATTGGACGTTTAAAAATAAAAATAGAACAACAGAGAGATGATGAAAATCAAAGTAGAAGGGTTGTCATCGATGACAACCCCACGCGTGTGGCATCTTCTTTATTAATTTCAAACAAATATCAGTGTTTTTTTTTTATTCACCCTTTGTCACCTTCCCTTTAGACCTTTATGTTCCTGTTTTTTTTTGGGGGAAGGGGTTTTTTTTGTCTTTTCTTTTCTTTGATCTGGTTTTTATTTCTGTTCTGTTCTGTTYTTACACTGTACGCGTTGAAATCGACGAAACGATTTGGATCACTGCTTACGTATGAGCAACAAGTTATGCACTGGAAAGCAACTGCTGGAGCTACCCACCGGCGGCTCGACACGACTAAAATACGAATTCTCCTTCTTACTTTTCGTATTACGATGATAAAATAACAACAAAAAGTAATTTAATCGAAAATAGAAAAAGTAAAAAAGGGCACGATGATGATATGATTATTAAAATGAACGAATAAAAGTGAAGTAATAGAAAGAAGAAGAGGAATCCTTGGTTGGAAGGGGAACTATGAAGAGACAAAGATAAATAGAACGAATGAAAGGAAGATACCTTCGAGTGACTCCCCTTCAGGAGTTTACCAAAAGTTCAACTACACTATCTTTCTTCTTCTACACTTTAACTTTGCCTAAACGTAAGAAACATTTTTTTTCATTTTCTTTAACTGACGTTGTTGACGAAAAAAAAATAAAAAACATAAAAATTCTCATTAAAAAGAAAGAAAGAAAGAAAGAAAAAAAAAATATGAAAAGATAAGAGAAGTAGTAGAAACACGCGTGACAGATATCAGGATCAATCGTAAGAGAAATAAATGAAAGAAAAAGATCGAGTAGCGATTATTGAGGGCTGCCTGCCTGCCTGCCTCCCTGCCTGAGTGGGGGTGGGTGGGTTTAGGTAGAACGTGAGATCGAGGATTAGTGTTTGATTGGTCGAAGAGAGTTTCGGAGGGAAAAAAAATAGAAAGAAAAAAAAAAGATAGAAGAAAAGAAGAAGAAGAAGAAGAAGAAGTGTAACTAACGTTTACTTTTAAACGTGATCGAAGCCGGATAGTTTTCTAGCTCGAGGAGCTTTTCTCTTCAACGATAGAAATAACCGACTGACTTTTCTTTTTTCTTTTTTCTTTTTCTACTTTTTCCTTTTTTCCTTTTTTTTCTTTTCTATCTATCTATCTATTTATCTTTCTTCACTATACCATCTCTATAATCTATTTCTTTTGATTTCACTTTGAGTATAATAGAAAGAAAAGAGAAAAAATATGATACTCGAAGGCCGACAAGACGAAACGAGACAAGACGAGACGAGATACGCGGAGAGAACGATCCGGTGCTCCGGAGTACCGTACCAGTACTGGTACTATGGAGTTTGTTATCGAATAGTGTCGAGAGAGAGAGAGACTCAATGTGTATGTGTGTGTGTGTGTGTTTATGTGAAAGACAGAGAGAGAGAGAGAGAGAGAGAGAGAGAAAGGGGGTGGAAAAGCAGGCGCCGTGCCGCTCGTCGTGGTGGTGGAAGCTGTGCTCGGCTGACAAATGAACAGAAACGCGAATACGCAAGCGCCAGACAAACCACCCTTCTATCACCCCCTTTTCTCCAACTACCCCTTCTCTCTCTCTCTCTCTCTTTCTTTCTCTCTCTTCTTTTCTTTCTGTCTATATAACCATCCATATACCCCACTTCGTCTACCTGTACTCTTCTTCTTCACTAAGGGTGCACCCAGATCTTTCTTTTTTCTTTTACTTTTACTTCTTCTTCTTCTTCTTCTTCTTCTTCCCTTTCACGAGAAACGATATGCCTCTGTGACGTCACTGTTGGTGACGACGTTTCAACCTTCTCTCACAAAAAAAATCACCAACAATAATGACTCTTTCTCTCTCTCTCTCTCTCTCTCTCTCTCTCTCTCTCTATTTTTAAGGCCTTTACCACATACACGCATACGTTTTATTTCAATATTTTACATATCCACGATTTGAAAAAAAAAGAAAATATTTTCCCTTCATAGGATAAATCATATTTTTCTTGATCTACTATAAATAAAATTAAAAGATAGAAAACACACATATTTCTTGTTATTATTTAAATAGAAAAATTCGATTCGTTCATAATTAAATAATATTTTAAATAGATAAAAGTTATCTCTCTTGAAACGTAAATTCGTTGCGAATGAATTTTTTGTTTCCTCCTCTCTTAGAAAAAATATTAATTTTGATTTTAAAGTAGTACGTCAATCGTCTGAATGCCGGAAGAATAATATAATTTTATATTATTATTTGAATGCATAAATAAATAGTTAGATTTAATTTGGAAAAAAAAAAATATGAAAGAAGGAAGATATGATAAGATAAGATGCGTGAAATAGTACGGTGCAAGTATTATGGAAGGAAAAGACTATCCGTTTATATAAGCTCGGCTTAAAATAAGTTATTAACTTTTTTTTACTACATTCTTATTTTCAAAGAATTTCTTATACCCCTACACCCATCTCCCAACACCATATTCTCCTTTTCATTTCATTCCATTTCCTTTTTATATTTTACTTTTTCTTTACAGAGTTCCTCCTTTGTCTTTTCCTAACATTCGTTCGTATTTTAAACTTCAATCTTTCATTCTCTTTCTATATATTTCTATTATTTGATAAACCTATTTTTTTTTTTTTTTACCTATCCTCTCTACTATTCTTTATTATGTCATATTATTTCTATTTTATTTTATAATAAAATAAATAACAATTTTTTTTTAAAACGATTACCTAAGAAAACAACGTTGAAAATATGTAATTTTTCAATGAAACATTTTGGTACGTCGCTTGATATCGTTGATATCACTGGAACAATGCTAATTACCGAAGAAATTGAGGTGTAATTAATTAAACGTTTAGACAAAGGTAAAAGTTTCATAGCTCGTAAAAGAAAATCGGCTTACAATTAGAGAAGAGAAAGGAGAGAAGTTTCTTTTTTTTTCTTTTTTTTTTTTTTATTATTTTCGATAAGCCTTTGTCATCCTTACGACGAATTCTAAGTGATAACAAGCTCGATTAATAAAAAAATGATCTATTAAACGTTCAAATATTTGTAATAATAAATTTGAGAGTTAGTTTTTTTTTTTTTTTTCATCACATTGATAGAAATACGTGACACTCACGTGAAACATGAATTATTAATTGTTCAAAAAGAGACAAATATATTGATATGTATTTGCTTACGTATGTATTCATTTAAATTACTTTAGTCTTTCAGTGTCTGTTTCCTTCATTCTTTGTCTATCTCACTCTATTTCTATTTAGCGTAATTACGTTGTAGTCCAATAGAACTTGATTACAAAATAGGTAGACACGGTCTATTTAGAAAGTTACAGCTCGTCGATCCCGGAGTTTGCTATCGTTAGAAAGAACTTTACTTCTACGTTCGTGAGATATTTCAATTCCAATCAAAGAGGCTAGACGAGAAACTAAACTTTTCCTACAAATTCCTACTAGAGTACAATAATAGAGTAGTAAAAGGAAGGAACAGAAGTATGTAGATATTAGATAAACTAACTTCAAAAATATACGTTAACATATGTACACATTTCATCCATTTTCATTCTAACGTTTACACCTGCATTACATTATTTGATATTCAGCCTTTTAAAATCCTCAAAATATTTTCACATTTCAAATCTAAAATATTACAAATAATTTGAAACAAATTTGATCTATCAATTTTTGTTAATTTGTTTCTCTTTTTTTTCTCTTCTATACAAAATTCTATAAATTGAATTTTAATTATTGACGAAACTAGAAATATATATATATATATATGGTGTGTCATTTGTTCGTAAATTGGCGTATTTTTTAGTTCCCTTTAACTCAAGGGAGATCGTTCGATGAGTACTCACTCATATTCTCCGGTTCGTGCCGAAGGGTAGAGATCGAAATTAGCATGTGCCTCGTTCAACTGAGTTTTACCTATGTGTCCGTCTACCTGTCTGTTTGTCTGTCTACTACCTGTCAACACATGTACTTCAAAATATACATACATACATACATACATATATATATATATATACCTTCCATCGAATTCACGAGCATCAAAATTCGTATCTCGAAACGATCAACAATCCAAAGTGGTCCATTCAACATTTTTCACTTTTTCTTTTTTATTATCCTAATCTAAAACTACTAACGACGGATAGTGGTCCTAAAACAATAAAATAGATGTTGACAACGTCTCTCATCGGATCTCTAAGCGAACTTTATCTAACACACATACATGGGTACACCTTTTCTTCTTTTATACCGTGTTACAAACAAGCCAATCCTAAAACGTGACTTCTATACATTTTCTCTTTTTTTATCGTTGATTTTATTATATGTTGTTTCGGAAACACCATAATACTCTTTTATCGTTAAATAAGTGAGCCCAGGTACTTCGTGTCCCTTTTTTCTACGAACGAACGAACCTTACCAATATTTAACTTCTTTTTTTCTTCTATATTTATGTTTTTATATACTTTTATACGTGGGTGTGTATTATATAAAATATATATATATATAATATTATATACAATAGTTGAAATAAATGTTCCTTTTCACCTTCTTTTCCTTCCTCTTTGTTTCCCACGTTAAAAGGAATTTCTGATTAAATGAGTTACTTTATTTCTTACGTATTTCTAAATAAGATTTTTCTTCTTTCCTCCCCCCAATAGAATTTCTATATTTCGAATAAAAGAAATTACGTAACATTAGGAAATTCGAAATGAAACAACTCATCTCACGAATATTGAACAATTTTCCTTTTGCACCATTTACACTTAGCCAAATACATCACTAGATTTAATCTAATCCGAGGGAATCATCGATTTAACGCGAATCCGACGAAATTCAACGACATGCCTGTTTGCCAACCTTGCCTGTTTGGTAGTATTCGAACCTACAGGAATACGAATGTAAGCTAAAATCACCATACGTCCACAATATAACTAACGTAAATCGCCTAAAGGTACCGTCAACACCACATTGCTGACTGATACAAAATGCATGAACGTTAACCCCTCCAGCATCAGCACAAGATGCATCGCGATTTGTCAAATATCTACGAATACCCTCTCTCCTATACCATCACTTATTGCACGTATACATTTTCATCGACATATCAAATAATATATTTTTATATATTTAATTGTAATAAGCAAGATTATAAAGTTCGAATAAAAAATGCGAATGGGGTAAGGTCTAGAGGTACGTGTCTAGAATGATTTTTTAGTAATAAAAAATGGTGTTAACGAGATCTATGGAAAATGAAACCACAATAGATCGAAGAGATTTAACGGCACGTATACGCTGAGCAATCTCACAGCAATCAGAGTTCATCTCTCTCTCTCTCTCTCTCTCTCTCTCTCTCCCTAACAGGTTCACCCTTGATTTCAATCTGGGAAATGTACTTGGACACGGCAAACACTAATGACGTCGGTCAGAACATTGTGAAGGAGACATCCTTCAGTTGACAAGGATCCCCCATTTTCTTTTCCCACCTTCCTCCTTTGTAATATGTCAAGATGTTTTTCAGTATTACTTATCATTAAGATATTATTATCTTATTTTGAATAAAAACACATTTATAAGACTAATAATAATTTGTACAACATTCGTTGGGGGTTCTTTCTGAAAAAGAAAAAAAAGGTTATTATAGTCTGAAGACGATCAAGATCAATACCGTCTCCCCTTTTATTTGTCATTCTCTTGTTAACAACAGTCTTTTTCTAACAAACCACTTAACGAAACGAGAAAAGCATTAATACGAACTTCTTTAAGAGGCACGTACGAACGTTCAATATTCCGTGACGTATCGTTCCAGGTTCTGGTTATAATACTTTGACGAATCTAAACCATCCCTTATTCTCCTACTATTCACCCTACTAATTCGATCGCCAATACTCCCCCTTCTCGTTCTTTCATTTTGTGTGTGTGTGTGTGTGTGTTCTTTTGTCGTTCGTTGGACCATTCGTTCGATAGCTGAGACATCAAAATGCTCTTATATTGTCGTATAATTTATTCCCGTTCTTGTAATATCTGATTGATATGAGAGTTGAACATGAAAAGCGCGTTTAACTGTACAGCTTTACCATTCGTCATCGATTTTCGCTTTACGATATTTACAAATGACTGTAAGAACTTCTTTCCTTC